TTTTATATATATATATCAGCAAAGGTGTGGAGGGAAACCCGTCTTAAGTCTACCTGACTGTGCACGACCAAGCAGTGAGCACTGCTCTGCTCCTCCTACGCTTTTGGTGGCATTGCCACCACCACCACACCGTGCCCACTGCTCAGACACCGACGACTGGTAGGGCACCCAATCAGTTCCACTCAAACCACCGGCAGTGGGGCCATTGCCTTAAAAGCCTTTATGAGAAGTACCATATTTTCATATTCACAGACCCTAAAACCAAGTCTGCCTAATGGAATATTTTTTTCACAGCTTTGCAATATAGTCGCAGCTGACCGAGTCAACTGTTGTTCTGTAGATGCGGAGAGGGAAGAAGGTCAGGGGTAAAGCACAAAACTCTTTTTAACTTTTTTCTTTTGGAAGCAGTTCTGAATTGCTAACCTGGGAGCATCCTTTATCCTTCTCCAAGCTACCTGACAAGTCAGAGAAAAGGGGATTTAGCTTCCTACACGCAGTGAACCTTATCCCCACACCTCAGTCCAGCCAATATATAAAACTGAAACAGTCTCAAACTTAAAAAAAAAAGTCACACTGCACTTAGTCTTTGGTTTCCAAGTTCAAAGGAGGAATCTGCTTCAAAGCTTGAAGCAGAGCTGAGGAGTCGATAGGGGAATGGGCTGGTACGGGAGATGGGAGTCTCTGGGGCATCAGCAGAGGCGGGGAGATTTTATCAGGGTTCATGAACCCCGTAAGTGCTGCGGCAGAGGCGGGGAGGCTGGGGTACAGGACAGGTACAGAGGCCGGGTACCAGCACTTCTCCAGCATGGGCAGATAGGCCGTGGCGGACGGTGGGATCAGATAGAAAGGCAGGCACAGGGGCGGCTGGTGGGCGTGGGGGCCCAGGAAGCTGCTGGAGGAGCCCATCATGTCGCTGCCAAAAGGGCTCTCGTCCTCTGGCGACTCCAGCCTGCTCCTTTTGGCCGGCGGGTCCTCAGTCTCTTGTTTAATAGAGCTTATTCTCTCCTGGACAGCGTACTTGAGTTCGGTATCCTTTTTGAAATACTGCTGTTCAGATTTGGAGTCGCTTTTCTCCAGCTCTCCCCCGTACCCGCTGTCTGTATCTGTGTCGCTGCCGCTCTGCTCCCCGCTGGAGTGAGCAAATGTCCTCTGGATCACGGGCACGCAGTTCTTCCCGTGGCCCTCCGCCGCTTTGGTCAAGGAGACGGGTTTCTCCTTCAAGTCCACCATTTTAGGAGGGATGTCTCCAGCCTTGCGGCCGGCTCCGCCCTGGAGCACCTCAGAAGCCATTCGGTGCAGATGGCTGACCAGCTGTGACGGCTTCAGGTCCTTGCCGTTCTCGTGCTTTGCCAGGTATTGCAGCATTTCCTTGGCACACATCTGGAAACCGGATCGAAACATTTCCTGGCTGGAATCAAGGTTTCTTGATGACAGGTCACCTGAAGAAACATTAACAGAAAGAAATTAAAAATTAACAACATGCTAAATAGTTCCATTCCAATCTTCGACGTGGACGGGAGGCGATATTACACCTCGGTTACAGCACAGCTAGAGAGGTGAACTTGATGGTCAATGTGAATTTTGCAGGTATTTCCCCCATTTCTGCATAAGCATCCATTTTTGTTTGAATATCCACCTGTCCACTTTTCTATAACTTTAAACTTTTTTTTTTTTTTTAGTTCTGTATTTACTGTATATGCCACCTTCAACAGGTGCTGAAGTATGGAGCAAAGGAGTGAGTCAACCTGGTGCCTTCTCCGGGAACACCCCAGAGAAGGCGACGGCACCTCGCCCTGCACCTCTGGGCAGAGCTCCTGGAGCTCGTCTGCCCGCCAGCAGCTCCACTGACCTCGGGCAATTTTGCTTCAGCTGAAAGCTCTATTGCACTCCCCGTGGCTGTCAGAGCAGTGGAAGACTGTTCAGAAAAACTAAATTTTACTTTATCACATTCACGTGAGTGCCGCATGTGAAAACAGAAGGAGGAAGTGCACCTAAAGCGTGATAAGCTGACACACCGGGTCCCCTCTTAGCCTGGAGAACACAGGGTAGCTTGTTCATAAGGAAACAAAAAAGGTGTGTATAAAAAGCAGATTTGTATGTATTCTCAGAAAAAAAAATAAAACAAAAAACCAAACGAAACTGAGTTTGATCCAAAGCTCATGAACATGAATGGAAGGATTCAAAGGGCTTCGGATAGAACTTCACAGCAAATCTGGGCTTTAAATAAAACTACCTAAAATCCAACTTAATTTCAAAGCAACTCCACAGGGCACTCTACATTGACCATATTGAGAAATGCATCTTTTTTTTGCAAAAGCTCATAAGCAAAGCGAAACAAAATGACAGCAATTAAAGGCAAGAACTCCTGTCTCCTCCCTTCCCAGGAACGAAGTGTCACAACCACATTTCAAAGACTCGGAGAGAAAGTCCATCAAGCGCACGCAGGTTCTCACACGATACGATTTGAATACTCACCCGCTTGTAAACCATTCTGCAAAGCAATTATTTTCTGCTGCTGCTGCTCAATGAGATTGGTGAGTGCTTTCACATGCTTCAAGGTGAGCTCCAGAACCACAGCCTTCTCCAGATGACCTAGAGTCTGAAAGCAAAGGGACAGGTTGGCATCTGCTGGGGGTCGGCCACGCACGCAGGAGCTCGAGGGGGCTGCCAACATTTCCCAAATAACAGATGAAGGACCGACGCAGTTTGGAGAAAAGGCTCAAAGGCACAGCCTTGGTCCTGAGCAGCCCAGGACTATAAACCACAGTGTTCTATGAAAAATCAGTTATAAAGCAGGCTGCAGGAAAGGCTGTCACGGAACCCTGGGGGGATTTTCGGACCAGCCGCATAGCTCAAAGAGAAGTGTTTAATTTATCTGTCCGGCTGCCCCAGCTGGCACCGGGACCTGAGTTGGGGGAATCCGGCCGGGGGCTGGGACGTGACCGGGGCAGGGGCGAGTCCCGCAGGAACTGGGCAGCCCGTGAAGCCATTCCGGGGCTCCGCTCCCGGCAAAGTTTGGGATGAGTTTACAGCCCACCCCGGG